AGCTTTAGCTTCGGCCGATGCAGCCCGCCTTCCAGGTTGGGGCCAAAGGGATGAAGATTGTCGTTGATTAGAGATATTGCCCTAAATGGTAGTGGCCTGTGCGCTGTACAGCTTGTTCGTTTAACTGACGGGTCTCAAAAACTACAAACTAAAATTGAGTGCACGCTGAAACAAACAACAAATTATCATTATTATCCACTGTAATTGTTTGACTTCCTTCAATTCGAATCCGTATCCCAACCCTGGCAGCCTCCGAAATCCTCAGTACGGTCGAGGGTGGGTGTTTGGGGTTGCGGCTGGTCGCTTCCTTTGCACCTCGCGAAATGCTCCCATACGACCAGGCATCTCGAATAGCCTCTGCTGAGGAGGCCCTACTCACTGCCTTCTCGTGGCGATGTTTTACCACCAAAGTGATACGACGAAAAGCCAACATCCGGGTTAGTGGACTACCGGTAGTTCACCTCGGGAAGTTGGCCAAAAACCCTGATTCCAAACCAACCAAGAAGAGGCGTACGAACCACACACCTTCCCGGTTGTGGCAGTGGTCACCGGCTCAATTCGGTATTGAGGTGTTTTGGGCATCGGCCCCCAATGGATTGCGGTTTTCACACACCGCCCTGTTGCCTAGCGGGTCAGGCTCTGGCTTGTCTAAGGCCCCGGTTGCGGATTCCCCAAGAAAATTCACCTGCCTTGGCGGCCTGGCTGTATTCAACCCATATTCAAATCATGGAACGTTTTTCTTTTAATAATGACTACCGTGCTGCGATTTGTTTGGCAGTCTGGATTCAGACGTGTGTGAAATATGTATATAACCAACCCTAGCTTCCGTTCTGCAGTTTGTTGTCGCGTTCGGCTAATGAAATACACTGAAACGAACTTCACAATGTACACAAATCAAGTGATAAAGCACAAGATGGAGAGGGATTTTGCCTGACTGGAGGGAGACAAAGAAAGTGAGCCTTCATGGTCAACACTGAGTACACAATCTAAGTTTGCATACATATCGTTCCAAGCATTTTGACCTGATAAGAAATAACAAGAACTCCACTGCCGCCGGTTAGTTACCGGATCCTTCATTGTCTCCAACCAACTAGTTGAAGTCTTTTGGACCCCAACCTGGGATACGGAAGACAACTATTCCACCTAATCGCTCTGTGCACTTCTTCATCCCTCGTTTTCACGACACCTGTTGAGCCCTACGTGGTTTCTTCCAACTTGTAGCCGCAACTGCGAACAAGGTGCGGTGCGGTAGACGACGGCAATACCGTTAATTCCGTCAAGCGCGATATACAGTACGGTGCCCGAATCACAATCCTATCGACAAATGTGAAAACATCTTAAAATAGCATTGATGTGCAACACTTATCATTGTGACAGAAACAACTTACGGTGAAGAACTCCGTCATGTTGTTCAATGCAACTTCGTCTGTACTCGGCAGTTCGGAAATGATCAAACTACGATAATAAACGCTAGGATCCCACTCCGGAAGAGGATCACGCCGACGGACGCTCAAACCTAAAGAGTAAAGAACTAGAAAAATTTTTCGGTACCATCTTCCGAGACTTCAAGCTTTTCAGACGACGCAAGAGCTTGAACTACAACGTTGTGTTCCTTCGTCAGCTTCTGCATTTTTTTGAATCCCTCCACAACATCTAGTTTCACCCAGCCATCCTTAGACGACTTGACCTTTTTCAGCAGAAACTGATCCTTTAGTATGTTGGCATCCGAAAAATAGAATTCACATTGTTGAGCAATTTGTCTCAAATGTTCGTCGGAAGTTGACCCTTTGGTTAGGTCAAGAGGGGTGCCGCAACCATTCGCTGTGTTTGCTGAGTTCATTTCATCCTGTATGTTTTGGTTAGTGACATCTCTCAGAGCTGTATTTCAATTAGGGATAGAAAGCTAGACAACAGACCTGGCGGCACCTCCATGACGAACACCGCACCCCGACGGCGCGCACTTCAACAACTCCGATTGCCATTTTTAGGAGATATAAACAAAATGGAAAGTCACATTTCTTCCAAAAATCTTTCTGATGGCACTTTTCCCGTGGGTAACTTTTTTTCTTATGGTCATACAAGTTCACGTGTTTGTTTCCATTTGACGTGTTTATTTCATTCACGGGGATTCACGGGCTGGGGAACCAAAGTTTTTGAGTAGTCCGGGTTCTGGTGGTACGTTTACTGCTCGGTGACGGACGGCGGTCCCCGGCGTAGTCGTCTGTTACTCGGTATTCGATTGTCTTAAACAAACAGTTAAGAGTGCTACTGTTCAACTGTTTTCCTGCGCTCGTACGTAAGCAGTGGTCAAGACCACAAACGTGGTTCACAAAAGAACTTGCCACCACACGATTCGCAGTGTTCCAATGGCGACAATGGCGACCATTGCCCAGTACACCTCTTTAGACAAATGACATCCCCAAGGCCTAAGCTGAGAACCCGGCGTTTGCACGCTGTCAAGATGGGGGAGCTATTTGTCAGCACAAGATAAATGGACTGCTCCAGCATCGGTAACGCAGAGGATAGATAGGCTCTCTTGCTTAGGAACGTGACTCTCCTAACAAAGAAGCACGTGTAGTGACAGTGTCAACCCTTTCCGTTCATGTACCTTTTCCATCTTCCGGACCTTGTTG